TTGAATATGCTTTAATTCATATAGGCTGATAGTGGTGGAGGATTGGTATGTAGGGATGAAGATGAAAATACGGAAAAGCTTGTTGGGCTTGTATCCCTTGGAATTGGTTGCGATTCAAAAGTACCAAATGTTTATAGCAAAGTTTCTGCTCATTTAGATTGGATTACTAAAACGATGGATAAGAAAGGTAAAAAAGGCAAAAATAATAGGAAAGACAAGAAAGACAAGAAAGGGAACAAAAACAACAAAAACAACAGATACAACCCAAACAGGAAAGACAAGAAGAATAAGAAAAAGAAAAATTAGTAGATAATAAAGTTTGAAATGCTTTAAAAAATCCTTGTTCTTATTTTACTTTTTTCACCCATCCTATTTATTATCATTTTAAACGTTTAATTCAAGGTGCCAGACCACCAATTCGAAATCCCTATCTATTCAACCAAATTTTGCAATTTTCACAGCTTTCTTTACATTTTACCTTAAATTTAATTTCATAGAAACCAGGTATATCCTAAATGTAAAAAATATAAAAAAAAAGACAAGCAAAAATAATCAATAAGTAATGTCGTATAACAAAATTATTGTTATTTACAATAAACTAAAAGTTCTTGAAACATGTTTCAACACTTCAAATTATTACTAATTCGAGGATTTTTTTCTCTCATTATAATGAGTATTGTCAAATAATAAAACGTCAATGTCAATATTTACAAATATAGTAACTGTAAACTGACTAATTGTTTAGAACGATCTATTTACCTTACGTGACTATAAAACAACACGAATAAAAATCGTTAGGGATGTAGGAAACATAGTTGCTCTCTTTTATGAATACATTTTCAAAGTAAGATGATCGCAAAACTAGGTCTCCGCGAAATCTAAATAGGGAAAAAACGCAAAAAAGTGTCCGCTTTTATTTTGTAGTTTTCTTTACAGCTTGAATCTGTGCATATCAAGTTCGAAAAACAGTCTTCTATATATATAAATAAAATGCCATATTTTAGCTAATAGTTTCTAAGAGGTTTTGATGAAATTCATAATGGATGAATCCAGAATATTTCATCAATTATATACCTTCTATAACCATGCGAACATTGACTCATCATATATACCAGGCTTAAAATTTGTACGCCAGACACGTGTTTCGTCTTCAAAAAACTAATCAGTGACGCTCAAATCAAAAAAGTTAGAAAGATTAGATAAAGCAGGAAGTTAAAGAGCATTGCTGACCCAAAATTCCGAAAGGTTTTGCCAAATACAACTGAGGTAATCTATTCCTGGGGTAGAAAATCCTTATTGATTCAAAAAACAACAGCTAATTTATAATGACATGTATGACCTTATCAATGATAATTCATGTCACCACATAAGTGCTGACTACGCGGCTTGTGGTACCCTCAGGGTGGAACCCTCCATTAGCAGTGGCATCGACCAAGTTATGATAAATAATGCAAGTCATGGAAATTTAGACTGCCACTGGAAACTGAGGGTATAATGGATAGGGACAGATTTTCCCCTTTGCAACAAGCCACCTACGGACCCCTCAAAGACTTGTTGCAATGATTCTAAACGTGAAAAAAGCGTGGGACATCGGATTGAACGTCTCTATTCTGACTCAGTGGTTGTCGTTGGTTGCAGTCTGTCACATTACTTTTCCGTTTATCTTTTTAGCATAAACAGGCCATTGGTTTTCTGGTTTGAAATGTTTCACATTTTGTCATGTCGGTGACTTTTGTAACTTTCTACACAGTATTGGTCATGCTCCTTGTTGAAAGCCGTAAGGTTACCTATAGTAGCTTTCTTTATTTGGCCTTTTAAATATTTTGATTAGAGCGTCACTGGTGAGTCTTTTGTAGACGAAACGCGTGTCTGGATTACAAAATTTTAATCTTAGCATCTTTGATAAGATTTTTACCACGTCCTTTGGTCCCTGGTATATGCTCAACAGGAAAAAGAAAACATTTAAGTAATCATAACTGAAATTGTCAAACAACTTCTCAAAGAAGTTATTTTCCTGAAATGTAGATTTTGAAAATTTTGCATTTTTGACTACTAAGTATTATCGTTAAAACGATGATACAGAGAGAACAAGTGAAACTGCGAGCTACTGCTCACTGATGATACCCCCGCCCAAATACTTGACGGTAAACAGGAAGTTTTTGAGTGATGAATCTGAAAACGCATCACACGGTATAGCTGACTTATATAAATCCTTGTATTGTAGTTCCTGAGAAAAATGTGACGAATAAATATTCATGGGACGGACGGACGGATGGATGGACGGACGAATGGATGGACAGACAGAGGTAAAACAGTATACCCCCACTTTTTTAAAGACTGAAAAAGTAAATTAATATCCCTACAATGACCATAATTACCGATTTATTGCATTTTTTTACTATTATATTAAACTTTAATAGGGAAATATATTAACACCAAGACAACAGCTTAAATTATCAGCAAGATGAGATTCACAAATAGGTGGACATAACTGAATTTGTGGATCAATTAAGAGTTACTGCCTCCGAATACAAATATATTTTTTTCACCATTGATACAATCATTTTGGTAAATTTACTGTTTAAGAGTTGAATGATTGGAAACATGAAGGCTTTTTAACCACTAGGCATACATAAACTTTGCCTTTTTGGCACAACTTCTTGGAGTATTTTGTTTTCAATGTATTCAAATGTGTACTTGATTGGGCCTTTTACTACTTTAATTCGGACGTCACTGATGATTCATTCTTAAATTACTTATTTTTAAATACATGTAATTTCATTTTCAAAATGGCAGCCCCCCCCCCCTTTTTTTTTACCACGTTGGTAATTCAAGCCTCTGGAACCTGTTGTTTAATTAGCAATTTTTCATGTATGGAACCAAATATTCAATATAAGAAAATTTGATACCCTGAAATAGTCTTTGTGAATTTAACTAATGAACTTCCAATGAATACCTATATAACAAACGGACAAGAAATAATGCTGTATGTAATTCCTTTTTAAATCAACGTCGGTAATGGGAATGTCACATGTGGAGGAGGATCTGCTTATCCTTCCAGATCAACTGCAATCAAGCCCAGTTTTAGTTATCTATGTTGTGTTATCACCAGCCCAGTAGACAGCAATTCTGTGTTGACATGAATTATTATGGATATGTTCATAATTATAAATTAACTGTTTACAAACTTTGAATTTATCTAAATGCTAAGGATTTTCTACCCCAGGAATAGATTACCTTAGCTGTAGCAAAGCTTTAGGAATTTGGGTTCTCATTGTTCTTTAACTTCATATTTTGTTTGGCCTTTTGAACGTTTTTGATTTAATCGTCACTGATAAGAGTTTTGTAGATGAGAGTCTGGCGAACAAAATTTCAATCTCTGTATCTATGATGAGTATCATTAGTAAACTTTTTTTTGCAATTTCATCGTTTTTTTCGTTTTTTGCTATGGCATTGTCAGTGAATAATGGTGTAATTAAGATTGACTTGAGTATAGAAATGTGCTCACTTTGCTAATCCTAACAGGCATTAGAACAAAAGATAGAGGATTGCAGCAGTTTGTTTGGCTGCAAGGGATGTATAGATATGCTGCCATGTCAGATCAGAATGGGTACTTTGAATCAAATTCCTAGTGTAGGCGATTGCCATGCTCTCTGGGTATCAAAGAATCATTGAAACAATTCTTGAGACATCTGTATATGTGAATTGTTGTAAGGCTTACTTTCTGCATCTATCTAACATACCCTCTTTTCCAGTGGCAGTCCCACTTTCATTACAAAGAGATTTATTGTTAATTTGTCTTTGCCCTGAACATGAATGAAATGTTTGCCACTGCATGTTAAGCAAACAGCAATCAACCAATAAGGTAATTCATGGCTCTTTCTTGTTCCTATTAAACAAAGTCAATGAATGTGGTTGTTAAATTTGATAGATGCTTTTTGTGCTTCTTTGTTAAATGTTTGTTTGTTTTGAGATTGTGACACAGTGATGACTGCTGTACCAATATTTTGACTATTTTACCTATTATGTCTGTTTTGTTCACGCATCGTTGTAAATATAATGGAATTTAAGCGGCTGTCATACAAGTGAGAGGTTTAGCGCTATAAAACCAGGTTCAATCCACCATTTTCTACATTTGAAAATGCCTGTACCAAGTCAGGAATATGACAGTTGTTGTCCATTAGTTTGATGTGTTTTATCATTTGATTTTGCCATTTGATTAGGGACTTTCCATTTTGAATTTTCCTCGGAGTTCAGTATTTTTGTGATTTTACTTTTTAATTTTTTTTAAAGTTTGGTACTTATTGTCCAATCGGATTTAACGAGTATTTGTGCTACAGATAATAAGACCAAGCTAATGATTAAAATACAGCACAATAATAAAATAAACGTTTCTTTAAAAGAATCCTGATATATAAAATTAGTGTAGCAGCCAGAGACGGCCAAAGTGACAGCAATCTAGATTTGTTTTGTAACATTTAGAAAAATTACATTTACACATTTTGTGCATACGTAGAGCTTTTCTGGATTTACCTTCATCGGGAATGCTCAAATTAAAAAACTTGCCAGCCAAGGATGTATAAATACCGGAAAATGTTAGGAGTTATATCATCAAAAATTTAGCTGAGGGGGTTAGAACTTTAGTTTCTAAACAATTTCTTAATTAGTATTTGCAAGCAAAGGACTCAACTCCTGATCAGCATATGAGCAAATTGTCAAAATCAAATTTGCCCTCCATTATTCAATCTGAAACTGTTTCAATTTTTTGCACAGCAACTTCAAAAAGCAACATTTTCAATTAATTAAAGACCAAAACTACTGGAAAGAAAAATGAAAATTTTCAATATCATTTTGACCTCTATTTTGTAATCAGAAACAACAAATGAGTATTTGAAAAAGATTGGTTTAACAGTTCCAAAGTCATTGCAGGTAAACTATACCTCCAAACATCCGACAAGCTACTGAGATTACAGGCAACTATATAGGACATAAAAAGTATCTATAATTCTATGAAACTTTTATTTCTTCCTTATGTTTGGTCTTTTTCTTCTTCTTCTTCTTTTTCACAGTATTGTTTGTACCATTTTCGTTTATTTTTTTTATTTCATTTAAGTCTTTATCAGATGAAATATTCACTATCAGATTTGGTTCACCATTCTGGTTACCATTTGTAGACTGACTTTGTTTAATGATAAAATCATGAGAAACTGCAGCCTCGGCAAGCCTTTCATCTTCTGAACTGTAAAAGAAAAAAAGTACCTTTCAAATTACTGCAAAACAATTTACTATTCACAGACAATAAAATCAACCACAGTTATGCCTTTACCTGAATAGAACCTCAAAGCAGAAAGTATAAAATTATGTCATACCAATCATCAGTTCATTAAGGGTTGATAAGACTTGGCCTTGTAGTTCACAATAGTAAGAAAAAATTCAATTTGGCTAATCTAAAAGAAAGTAGTAAGTCTCTGAATTTGGAAAAAAGTATGCCTAGGTTTTAAATCAAATCTGGAAATAAATACAGAGGCACAAGTTGCCTCTGGCAGCCATGTTTTTAAACAGAATGGAAAAATTGAGAAATTTTGAATCTGACCTGAAGTTAAAATTGGTTAAAGAGTTTCAGAGTAGATGAAGTTGTGATTACTATAGGAACCTATAATGATCACAATGATCTATAGTAAATTAAAACATCATTGCTGCAATGCACACAAACTGATCAGCATTTAACAAGGAATGGGGGGAACTATCCTTCAAAGTAGGAAATGATTGTGCCTTATAATTTGATATTTTTTATGAAGGTCTACACTTAGAATCCTACATTATTTCTTTATTCCTTTTCTCATATGTTCAAACTTAAATAAGACAATGAAAACAATAACGATGATGGAAAGATGCCAGCAAACTTAAAATCATAAACTTTATAACAGATATAATTTTACTTTTCACAAGGAAAACCATTACACTTGTTAGATTCAGCAAAGTAAGTCAAACATGATTCTATAAATAGAATTATACCGCATAGTTTTCTATACATACCTATTACTACTAGAACTAACCGCCCTTTTCTTCTTTTGTTTTGTGATATAGTTATCTTCTTGGTCTGTCTATACATATCTATTACTACTAGAACTAACAACCCTTTTCTTCTTTTGTTTTGTGATATAGTTATCTTCTTGGTCTGTCTATACATACCTATTACTACTAGAACTGACAGCCCTTTTCTTCTTTTGTTTTGTGATATAGTTATCTATACATACCTATTACTACTAGAACTAACAGCCCTTTTCTTCTTTTGTTTTGTGATAAAGTTATCTTCTTGGTCTGTTATTAGACTTCTTGTTGATGATGAAAATAATCTTATTCCTGTATAAAATAAAAAAAAGGCAAATAAAACCTTGGGTCATTTCGTCATACTGGGACCATGTAAAGCTAATTATATGATATGGGTTTTGCTTATTGTTGTGCGCTTAACTATAGTTGTTTAAATCTACATCATTTAGTGACTTGTAACCTGTAATTGTACACATCTTTGTCATAAGTCTATGGATAGTTTTCTCATTGACAATCATACTATAGTTTTTGCAAGGGTTTGTTTATTATGCAGAGAGTGTTGCACTCATCATACATGGGGATATTGTCTATTGTTAGAGAACATTTTTTGATCTGTTGATGTCTTATTTGGGATTTTGTGATGTTTGTTGACAGTATCAAAGACTCTAACATGATATTTTCTATAACCATAAAAATAGATGCTTGCTGTTCGGTGTGAGCCAAGGCTTCATGTTGAAGGCCGTACTTTGACCTATAATGGTTTACTTTTACAAATTGTGACTTGGATGGAGAGTTGTCTCATTGGCACTCATACCACATCTTCTTATATCTAATTAATCAATTGCTCTTTGCCAAGACAAATTTCAGGCTTTATACTGTTCATTAAAAATCATTAAATTTTTATTTGCCATTTGGATAAATGAGTGTTGCTTATTATTGACACATATAAGTAGATATTGCGGTGTAAAAATCTCTTTTCAAAATAATTTTCTTAATATAAGTTCTCAAAGTCATATGAAACGAGTTTCTAGTATTTTTAATGTTATGGAAATTATTGAACCAATGCATGCATAAATACTAAACTAAGTCCTGTATGCATGAATTTTATATTTATTACGAATCTATAATGTATTATCAACATATAATGTTTCATTCAGTGATTCATTTCAATCATTGTTGATCGCAAACCTATAAAACTTTCGAAAATTTGTTGCTTCATGTACTTTCTCATCTACATAATACAAAATTTCTTGGATGCTTAGTTATATTCTCATACTATAATTGTCTTCATTAAATTTAAATTATTGCAAGAAATGCATAAGGGATGAGAAAAACAACATAATCCACTGACTCAACAAGACAGATCGTTCTACTAACAGCAACCTATTGTGATGACCCAATCCAAGATTATTTGAATTACATTTAACCTTTCATTTTACTCACGAGCAAAAATTTTGGATATTGTGCTCTTTCCTACATATTCCAAAATATATCCATAAGCACTCAGGGCTGATCCAGAATTAAACACACAGGGGTCATGGGAGGCACTTTATTAAGACCCCTACCACTCATAAAATGAATTTTTTTACTTATAATTCTTACAAAAATCAAGGAAAATTTAACCACCCATATTTAATCAACTTGAGTGCCTCCCATTCCCCCAAACCAATAAATTTTGGAACAGTCCATTTATCCTGTTTTAACCAATATCCCTTTCACACCCGTACAGTGTACCAGTGAAGCAAATTTTACAACATTGTTTGCATTAAGTCTTGTTTCTTCAATATTTGTTGACATACAGATATGGTTAAGGGCTTAAATTAATACTCTGAATACCAGCAATGTGCTTCAATGTGCATCAAACTTCTATCATTATCTGTTTAATGTTGATTTGCCCCTTACTGACAAGTATTTTTTCTGCAAAAACCATCTTTTTTTTTTAAATTTTAACAGAATATTTTCACATAGGAGTGTATAGAATACTGTTTATTTTGGGGAAGATGTGACTATTTTTAATAACTGTGCAGTATGTTTTGGAAAAATAATATTAAAATAATAGTTCTTACTTGTACACAAGTTAAATATGTGATTTTTAGTGTTCCAGCGCAATCACGACCTTAAAATGCACTAACAATTTGTAGTCATTTCTTACAAAATTTATTGAAAAAGATACAAAACATCCAAAAATATCCTAACTTTCTTCAGCGAAGTTGAAATATATGTAACAAAACATTGTTTCTTAAGTGCCTGCTTATGGTAAAGTTGAAAACACTTTTGTTAAAATGAAGGAACATGTATATGTCAAAGAAACAAGAGGCTCTCAAGAGCTTGAATCGCTCACCTGTATTTCAGAGAAGATTTTTAAATGTTAGCAAACTTGATGAACAAATTGTGTAAAATTGTCTTTAAAGGGCAATAACTCCTTAAGGGGTCAATTGACAATTTTGGTCATATTAACTTTTTTGTAGATCTTACTTTGCTGAACATTATTGCTGCTTACAGTTTATGTATATCTATAATAATATTCAAAATAATAACAAAAAACTGCAAAATTTTGTTAAAACTACCAATTCGGTGGCAGCAACCCAACAATGGGTTGTTCGATTTGTCTGATAATTTCAGGGCCGATAGATCTTGACCAATTAAACAATTTTACCCCATGTCACATTTGCTCTAAAAGATTTAGTTTTTGAGATATAAGCCAAAAACTGCATTTGATCCTTATGTTCTATTTTTAGCCATGGCGGCCATGTTTGTAAATGGAAACAAACTTGGGATACAATTTATAAACAAGATACCCTAAGGAACATTTAGTTAAAGTTTGAAGGTAATTGGCCTAGTAGTTTCAGAGGAGAAGATTTTTAAATGTTAGCAAAAGTGATGAACAAATTGTGTAAAATTGTCTTTAAAGGGCAATAACTCCTTAAGGGGTCAATTGACAATTATGGTCATATAAACTTTTTTTTAGATCTTACTTTGCTGAACATTATTGCTGCTTACAGTTTATATATATCTATAATAATATTCAAAATAATAACAAAAAACTGCAAAATTTTGTTAAATCTACCAATTCGGTGGCAGCAACCCAACAATGGGTTGTTCGATTCGTCTGGAAATTTCATGGACGATAGATCCTGACCAATTAAACAATTTTACCCCATGTCACATTTGCTCTAAAAGATTTAGTTTTTGAGATATAAGCCAAAAACTGCATTTGACTCTTATGTTCTATTTTTAGCCATGGCGGCCATGTTTGTCGATGGATACAAACTTCGGATACAATTTATAAACAAGATACCCTAAGGAACATTTGATTAAAGTTTGAAGGTAATTGGCCCAGTAGTTTCAGAGGAGAAGATTTTTAAATGTTAGCAAACTTGATGAACAAATTGTGTAAAATTGTCTTTAAAGGGCAATAACTCCTTAAGGGGTCAATTGACAATTATGGTCATATTAACTTTTTTGTAGATCTTACTTTGCTGAACATTATTGCTGCTTACAGTTTATATATATCTATAATAATATTCAAAATAATAAGAAAAAACTGCAAAATTTTGTTAAAACTACCAATTCGGTGGCAGCAACCCAACAATGGGATGTTTGATTCATCTGAAAATTTCAGAGCTGATAGATCTTGACCAATTGAACAATTTCACCCCATGTCAGATTTGCTCTAAAAGCTTTAGTTTTTGAGATATAAGCCAAAAACTGCATTTGACCCCTATGTTCTATTTTTAGCCATGGCGGCCATGTTTGTCGATGGATCAAAACTTCGGATACAATTTATAAACTAGATACCCTAAGGAACATTTAGTTAAAGTTTGAAGGTATTTGGCCCAGTAGTTTCAGAGGAGAAGATTTTTGAAATAGTTTACGACGACAGACGACGACAGACGACGGACCCCAAGTGATGGCATAAGCTCACATGGGGCCCTTCGGGCCTGGTGAGCTAAAAATGACAGACTAACTATGGATTCCTCCTACATTTGCTTTAAATCATGAATTTGGCAACAAATACTGTAAATTGGGTTATTTTGGCTGTAGTTTTATTTTGGTTTATTTGGTGCCTCCAATGAAAGTGCCAAAATTAAACACGAAATTTAAGCAATTAAACACTAAAAATTGAAACACCAAAATTGCGTACCGGTACGACAATATCGTAATATTAATTGTTGGGGAATATATTTTATGTTATTATATCTTCCGTATATTTCCTACAATGCAATACATAGCCAAATCTGCAAATAAATACCAGGTATAATTTGACAATTTAAACAACATTATATAATTTTTCATTAATTGTCAATTTTCTGAAATTGTTAAGAAAACACAACATGAATTTTTATTCACACATGTCATAAATATGCCAGGCTATTATAAGACACCGTTTTTGGTAATTAGAATATCAAAACTCCTTGTAATCCTTTAGCTTCAATAAATTAACATGTGCTGCCAGAGGCATAAGGATTAAAATTGTAATCCTTGATCATCATTAGATTAATATGTACTGCAGTAGAGATGATTAAAATTTATCTCATATGATATTTGTAAAACAGTAAATAATCTATTTAAAATATGATTTTAATGTTTAAGATTTTTTTTCATATTTTTTTTAGCTTTGGACCACGATATACGAAATTATTTGCAATTGCATCCGTATCCGATTTTTTCATTAAGTTAACTTTGTCGTGTTTCTAGTTTGAGAAATTCATTGATATTTTGTCAATAAACCGGTAAATAAAGGCAAATATGAATGAGCTTGCTCACTACTATTGTTCCAAAAGTAGACATATCAATTGGACGAAGCACCAAATTTACACACACCAAAATAAAACACATGCCTTTCGAGAGAAAACCACCAAAATATCCCGACACCAAAATTTCCCAATTTACGGTATATATCATCTCAACACATAATTTTTAACATCTAAATATCTTTGAGTAGAAGACTTTACTACTTAAATTTCAATAATTTCTCCAAGGATGCCAGTGGTACAGAGCTATGCTGAACTGACCCATAGCAGGAAGATCGCATGTTTGAATCTCATAGACGGAGTTGAACAAATTATTTCCTATATTAAATGTAACCTAGAACTTAACTTTACTTTCAATTTCAAAATGAAAACCATATACATGCAAAAGTCTGATATTTAAAATTGTCTTTAAAAGAATTTATGTGCGGCAGCCCAATCACAAACCCTCCCCTCTTTGCTCCATTTGCCTCTCTCCAGGGTGCGCCACAACATCAAGTTATCATTGGTAATTCATTGAATTCTCCCTAGTAAAGACCAAATTTTGTTCATTGTTTTACTGAATACTTTCTAGACAGAAAGTTGTGTCCGAATTGGATTTGGACCAAAAAAGCTTCTGAAATTGGTTATTTTGAATGTTGCAGACATCAATTTTTCAAGGCATATAGCAGATATTTCCTCTTTCTATACCAATTTGGCAACATGTCTGTCTCTAACAGACTTGGGGCACATAGTTGCCAAGTGACATGATATTCGCGTGTAATACACGCTTTTTCAACGGTTTACACGCGAGGATCTTGTCACATGGCGTGTACACGCTTTTCACCACTTTACACGCTTTTTCTTTGTTTTGATTTTTTGGTCATTAGTGATATCCCGATTCTCGGGTTTTTTCATTACTTGAAAATAAATACAGAAAATTTCGAAACAATTGTTTGGAAGCCATTGATTATTTTTCTTATGGACGAACAGCAAAAGCCCTTTTTAGATTAGTTTTTACGATTTTGAAAGATTTCCTTTCTTTCAAATTCACTTAGGGGAAGTGTCCACAGAAAGAGGTCGTTTTCAGGACCTGTACTGTCGTCTAAAGAGTCGATTGCTAAGCGAAAACGATGTGTACGTACCAAGATAATTTGAACATTTATAAATTATATTTGGGAATTCAAGTTTAAATGATCGATGGACGAGTAATGCATAATGTGCACCCTATGTTGCAATCATAACAATACATGTGAGAGGAGAACTACAATGTAGCTATTTAATTAAGCATTTAACATGTTGAATGGTAATCAAATTATAAAATATTTTTCTTTTTCAGTTTCAAATCTGGCCAACAGATTTCCACAGGCCACAGGGGATGGAAATATCACGGAACTGTTGGATCAGTTCTCATAGTACCAGCTGTCTTCTGATAAACTTCCCAGTTTTGACCAGGCAATAGCAACATATATCATGTATATAGTTTGTTGTGAGCAAAGGCAGAGATAATAAATGACATTTTAGATGGCAAAAAAACATTATGAGACTCTTTCAAAGCTTGATAAAGCTATTATATATATATATATATAGTTCAACCAAATATCAATTCTGACTGTGAGAGAGCATTTTCAATTATAAAGAAATGTACACTGAATTCGGATCAGAACTTGACAATGATATATTGTGTGCCTTGTTATCAAGTAAATGTAACCAAACTGGTAATTGTTTAGAATATGTGTATAGTGGTGTTGCTTTAAACATGTTAACAGCAGCAAAACAGACCACTGTTGAAAACAATAAAAGTTTACAGTAGAATATTGTTTTTATATTAACAAATTTGTATAATGTGAAAAAGTCTGCATCTACGTCGCACGTTTTCACACGCTTTTTGACATGTCATGTCATGTCATGACATGATTTCTCATTGTCAGAGGTTGGCAAGTATGTTGGGGCATTGTTTTTCACCAAAGCTATACCATATTAGTGCAACAATATGTCTCTACATGACTTTCCCCCATGGATACCACTTGACCTTAAATAAGACAAATCATCTTCAAATTTAATTTTCTGAAATATTCAATCAATTATCTTTCATATGAGTCCAATATGGCCTTTACATAATTTTTGGTGTGAATGCAGTATTCAATTGAACTTTGGTAGTGTCTTTTCGATTATTAAAGGTCTAAAATGTCCGAAAGGTAAATGGTTAAAGATGTTTGCATTTTAAAACTCACCTGTATCTGTAATTTCTTCGTTTGTTCCATTTAATCTACTATCAGTTAATTCTATCTCTCTAAAACATAAAAAAATGAAACGTTCTGACATGGTTACACGTACAACATACAAAATTTAATAATCTTAGGTATAAATACAAGGTATCGGCCATTGCTAGGGGCCGTCTTAAACTTGCAGTGAGGTGAGAGTTTTTTGCTACATGTTGAAGGTCTCACTGTGACTTTGAGATGAAGAACAGCAATGAAAGCACTGTTCCTTTGCTTTTTGTATGTTTTTTTGTTGTGCATATTCTGATTTTGTGTCATGGATGGATACCCCATATCCTTTGTTTATCTAGTATAAGTACAAAAAACTTTATAAAACATTATAGATTTATGCTGAGAACCTCTATGTCTATCTATCTGTGAACTACTTAAAAAATACAAGCTCTTATGAAGTGTTTATTATGATGATAGAGATTTTTTTCAATATATGATCATTCTAACCCTAATAAAACTTTGTTGCACTAAAGCATTCAAACAAACATGAGTAGTTCTTCTCATATGTGTGCATAATTTATGAAATATCAACCAAATGGACTTCTACACTACAAAAGTTGGTTTCAACAGAAGTTTGTGTTGTAGATTACAGGGTCCTTGTATTAGATTAAATCTCTGACACTTAATCATTTTAACATGATAAGGCACTATAATTGTATAAAGATATTGACAAATATAATGCCTACCCATGTTAAAATGAGCATAACAGGAAAGAATTATTTTTTAGACAAAAAAATGAAAAGATGGCAAGGGATAACAAAAGGTTAAACTGATCTGTCCTTAAAAGTGTAATCATTTCTCAATTTATAAGTGGTCGCAAAAAGATCTTGAAAATGAACTGTCATCATATATCTGGAACTGCTCACCCTTCCAGAGCACCTAAGTTGACTTGTGGAACAGGAACTGCTCACCCTTCCGGAGCACCTAAGTTAACTTGTGGAACAGCAACTGCTCACCCTTCCAGAGCACCTAAGTTAACTTGTGGAACAGGAACTGCTCACCCTTCCAGAGCACCTAAGTTAACTTGTGGAACAGGAACAGCTCACCCTTCCAGAGCACCTAAGTTAACTTGTGGAACAGGAACTGCTCACTCTTCTGGAGCACCTAAGTTAACTTGTGGAACAGGAACTGCTCAACCTTCCAGAGCACCTAAGTTAACTTGTGGAACAGGAACAGCTTACCCTTTCGAAGTCCCAATTTTTTGGTGGGTTCGTGTTGCTCAATCTTTACTTTTTGTCTGCAATGTTTTTATATGGACTGCTGTTTATCTTTTTGGCCATTGTATTGTATGTTTCTCTCTGAAGTATGATTTATTAATGCCCCTTAAGTACTTAACTCCCCTCCCCCCCCCCCCCCCCCCCCCCCCCCCACTTTTTGGGGACTTTCCATACGTATAGATTCATACTTATCAAGCTGTTCTGATAATTTTGAAGCCACAAATTTTCTGACCCCTGGAGTAAATGCACCATTTTCTTCTTCTTTATCAACAGCTAATGGCCTGTAATAATTAAAAAAAGATTTTATAATCCACATATATTGTTTGGTGTATTGGTACACTGGTTTGCTGCCAGGCATGGGGCGAATTACATTGCAATGTAATGCATTATATTACAATTACTTTGACAAAACCATGCATTAAATTACAATTACAATTACATGCATTTATCAAAGTAATGCATTAAATTACAATTACTTTTGCAAAGTAATGCATTAAATTACAATTACTTTTGCAAAGTAATGCATTGAATTACACATTACATTTTGTAAATTTTTGTATCAAGTGAAAAGAAAAATCAAACATTTTGAAAAACAACATAAAGTCACAAAAGATTCTAGCATAAGCATTAACTGTTCCATGTATTGAATTTAAGTAGACATGAAAAAGTTTATTCAATACGACTATTACATTTTTACATTATAAGGGTTTCGAAAGGTTTCATCCTTCATGCACATTCTATCAGGCCTGAACACTTTTAAATGATATTTCTGACTACCCGACTGTTTCACAAAACCTATCAAAGTTGATTGCTCTTCTATCTTTAGTTTTCATGTTTCAAGGTATACATCTCTGTGTTTTCTCTAAAAAGAAATTACAGAGATGAAGTTAAATACTTATTTTAACTTAATGTTAACTTTACTTTCATAAATATACATTTTTTTTTAATTTCAATCAAAATATTTACTGAGAATTTCTTTCCTAATTATATAATAAACATAGAGCTTAATCTATGACCAAATGTCAAAATGGTGAAAAGATTGATTTTAAAACAAACTAATTAGTGTTTTATGAAAATGTTCAATTATCTGTTATTTAATCATGACAAGGTATTCATTGATCTTTTGATCTTTTGACAACAATGGAACACTTTAACATTAATGCTTTTCAAATATCAATCTTTTTATCCTGGAAAATGTATGAATAAAATGAAATAAAAAAAAGAACTCAATCTGATATACAGTGTTGTGTTTTTCCATCTAGTGAGTTATGTAAAGTGTGAAAAATAAATAGAAAATAGAGAATCAATATTCAAATGATTATGTTCTTAGTTAATCAAGAAATCTTAAATTCTGCTTTAGTTAAATCTCCAACAATCTGTTAAAGATATATAGTATGTGAAAAAAGTAATGCCATGTAATGCAATGTAATGCATGAAATTACATAACTTTTTGCTAAAGTAATGCATTAAATTACAATTACATGTAATGCAAAAAATGCTGCATTACACATTACATGCAATTACTTGGTAAAATGTAATGCATTACCATGCATTACAATTACAAATTTGCATTACCCCATGCCTGTTTGCTGCCTGAATTGAATTTTAAGGATGTTCTTTACTCTGTTTCAAAATAACAAGCTTTTCAAAAGACTGTTTTAAATTGATAGTATATAAATAACTGCACTTAAAAAAGCAGTGTCCTTGTTTTTGAGATATAAGCAACTGAAAATTTGGTGGGAAATAATTCTCTCTAGATTTTTTATACATGTAACATTAGCACCTTTTTTCTTTCAAAAACTATGAAAAAATAACAAGGATTTAATAAAATTTTCAAAAATGGCTTTTTAAACTATAATTTTTATGTTATATAATCATAAAAAGAAAAGTAGGGGTTAGTGGTCAAAATTTTTAAAGGCAATGCATGGATAAAACTAGAGGATTCCGAATATCTGACAAAACATCAAAAAACAAGAGTAGCGAACATCCTTAAATCAAATGTGTCATCCATGAGAAAGGTTATATATTTTTGTTATCTTTACACAAAAAGATTGAATGTTGTGTTAATGTTCAAAATAACATCATTATGAGGGTCTGGAGGAGGTTTTCAGAATGGAGAATAATAGGCAAAAAGTGCAGAATAATGGGAAAAAATATGAATAGAGAAAAATAGGCCAAAAAAAAAAAGAAAGAACAGAGTATAATGGGATGGTGAAGTATAAAGAATAGAGAATAATGGTCTAAAAATCAGTAGAATAAAGAAATGAAGACCCCCCCCCCCAAAGACCCTCACTTATTAAAAAGAAACATGCAAGTTTTAACATCCTTTTGATGAAACACCTTTTGTTAAATAACATCACAGGAGTGAAATTACAGGATTTATTGAACATGAGAAATTATCATTATTCAACCAGGAAATCATGGTATTTTATTGCAACCAATGTAATCATTGTTTATACGGTCTGTTCCAGATTAAACCCATGGGACAGGGGCAGCACTGTTTTTAGACCCCAAACCACTCATTAAATAAAATTTTCATTTTACTTATAAATAACATTTTTGAAATTCTAAGTTATATGACTCCCATCCCTCCCACCATGATCAATTATGGGACAGTCCTTACTGTAATGTGAGCAGACATTCTTTGTTTGTTTTACAGCTGCTAACTGATGTGGCATGAGGCAAACATAAATCAATCACTTCTTTGTTTGTTTACTTGCCAAGAATAAAATTCACTAACAAATTTTTGTTATTTGAAACATTTTACAAATATCTTAGAGATATGGAGGCTTGAAAGACTTTACAATGCAATCGTCCATATAATTAATATTTCCAAGGGGCATAACTATTTTATAAATAGTTGATCAGCACTGATTTTCAAATTTGTACGAGACATCGCTGATATAAACCTTTGATATAAGTTTGATAAAAATCTTTTTAATCTTGAACTTTTTGTTATTAATTTTTTTGTGGGAATTGACATTATAATTGTCTGTAATTGGATTGCTCTCCATTATTGTCGAAGTAAAAACATTTTGACTTGAATACTATTTTTGTTATCTATTTCAACATCACCTGTTAGATGGCAAATTATAGATTCTTCTTTCTTTCAAGTTTTCTTTCACTGGTAATGTCACATCTACAAAATATATAACATACTACTTTATAATAATTAATCTCTTAATAAAATAAATATAAATTAAATATTTATACAAAGGCTTAATATTAGGTTCTAATCTCAAAAACAGTTTTGATTAAATTCTTTCATGCCAACCTATTTATTAGGCTGACTTTTTACCAAACTTTTCTAAAATACTTGGGGTCCTGGCCTCACTTAAAAATAATTCAGAATCAGGAATTACTTCTAATGTGGTGAGAGTGAATGAGAATTGCACAGCTGTCATACTGTATAAAAAGACAAATTCTATTGAGGACCTGCAATACTGTATGTTCCTAGTCACGAACCATGCCAGTGGTAATCTTACACACTTATATTATATTTTATTTTTTAACTTATTTGGAGAATTTGGTCTTGATGGCATATCTTTCTTTGTCTCTCTTTAAATTTATTCAGAACTTTTATAGAGCTGGCTTGCTTATGACAATCTATAGCCAGTCATATTGTTTAGACAACTGTCTTTTTGTTAGCCATGTTAGCAGATGTTGTGCTTGGTGCTAGTATGATGAGTTAAGCCTTTTACAACTTGTATTTATATATATCTATATATATTTGTTTTTCATTTATTGTTTTATCATAAATCAGATTGTTGATTTTTCATTTGAATTGTTTTACATTTTGTAATGTTGGTGTTCTTTATAACTTTCTATTCTGTATGGGTTTTACTCATTGTTGAAGGCATACAGTGACCTACAGTGGCTTTCTACCACTTCATTTGGTCTCAGTTGGATAGCTACCTCATAGGCAATTATACAACTCTACCATTTCATTTGGTCTCAGTTGGATAGCTATCTCATAGGCAATTATACAACTCTACCACTTCATTTGGTCTCAGTTGGATAGCTATCTCATAGGCAATTATACAACTCTACCACTTCCTTTGGTCTCAGTTGGATAGCTATCTCATAGGCAATTATACAACTCTACCACTTCATTTGGTCTCAGTTGGATAGCTATCTCATAGGCAATTATACAACTCTACCACTTTCTTTGGTCTCAGTTGGATAGCTATCTCATAGGCAATTATACAACTCTACCACTTCATTTGGTCTCAGTTGGATAGCTATCTCATAGGCAAAATTATACAACTCTACCACTTCCGTTGGTCTCAGTTGGATAGCTATCTCATAGGCAATTATACAACTCTACCACTTCATTTGGTCTCAGTTGGATAGCTATCTCATAGGCAATAATACAACTCTACCACTTCCTTTGGTCTCAGTTGGATAGCTATCTCATAGGCAATTATACAACTCTACCACTTCATTTTGTCTCAGTTGGATAGCTATGTCATAGGCAATTATACAACTCTACCACTTCATTTGGTCTCAGTTGGATAGCTATCTCATAGGCAATTATACAACTCTACCACTTCATTTGGTCTCAGTTGGATAGCTATCTCATAGGCAATTATACAACATCTTCATATTTGTTTAATGATAGACAGGTGTGTATACAATATGTCCATGTTCTGAACTGTCCTGAGTCATAAAGAGAAGTAAATAAATTAAATATAAATCATCACAGATCTCACATCAACATCAAATCCATAAGACAATTGTTGTAGTTTCTGACTTGAAAATTTCTTGCAGATAAATAAAAGCAAAATTTTAGTATTGCTTCAAACTACAAGTGAGTAACGTTATCCAAAACAAGAGTGCACACACTGAAATTTCTTGCCTGCTTTACTGGTTTGATGATTGATTTTATGTTGGAAGTCTTAAAGATCAAGGTATTACGACAATATATCATAGACCTAGTATTGTAACTGATTCATGACAATGAGGTCAAGGTGAGACAAACCCTGTCAGACAGACATGTATACCTTTCCATCATTCCATACATCAAAATATATAGTTGACATGTTTTGCTTGTAGAACAATGTAGAATCCAAGAAACAGACCAAATAATGAAAACTTAAAAAATTGGCCAGTGAACCATGAAAATGAGGTCGAGGTCAGATCATACAAGCCAGAGAGACATGTACATCTTACGATTATTCCATGAACCACAATATTTGTTTTATTGCTAATTACATATATAATAGTATCTAATAAAACAAACTGGAGAGTTGTCTCATTGGCAATCATACCACATCTTTCTTATTTTTATACTACATGTACATGATGTACTAAACAGGAAAACTTAACATTGACCAAAATGATGTCAAGGTCAAATGAACATGCCAGATAGACATAGATATAAGAAGATGTGGTATGAGTGCAAATGAGACAACTCTCCATCCAAGTCACAATTTGTAAAAGTAAACCATTAAAGGTCAAAGTACAGAAAACTTAACATTGACCAAAATGATGTCAAGGTCAAATGAACATGTCAGATAGACATAGATATAAGAAGATGTGGTATGAGTGCAAATGAGACAACTCTCCATCCAAGTCACAATTTGTAAAAGTAAACCATTATAGGTCAAAGTACAGCCTTCAACACAGAGCCTTGGCTCACACCAAACAGCAAGCTATAAAGGGCCCCAAAAATTACTAGTGTAAAACCATTCAAACGGGAAAACCAACGGTCTACCGTCTAATCTATATAAAAAACTAGAAACAAGAAACACTTATGAACCACATCAACAAACGACAACCACTGAACATCAGGTTCCTGACTTAGGACTGGTGCAAACAAATGCAGTGGGTTTAAGCGTTTTAATAGGTGCCAACCTTCACCCTACCTGAAAAAAACAGTGTAACATCACAACACAGAAAGACACACTATAAAATATCAATTGAAATGGCTTAACTCAATCAAAAGACATATTAACAAAAACAAGTGAACATACACTGAACAAATAAATAAATGGTCCTCTTCCTGTTCAGAATGTGAACTGTATGCAACTTGAAATCAACCACTTACACTGTATTGAAGTCACATATAGACTTTAATTTTGAAATTAACTAATCTTTTAAAATTCTTTTGAAAAAACCTGTATATTCTGAAGCAAGGTTAGATATTAGTTTGTCTAAAAACAGTAAGTTTTCCTCAATAGGGGACGTCATACAGTGATGACATCATGTGACCACTAGTGAATCTGTCCACATCACGTTCAATTAACAGAAAATTTCGGCATTTTCCTATCTAAGTTGGATCAAACAAAACAGATTTTTTACAAATGAGGTAAAAATATTTGTGACATGTCAGAAGATATAAGCAGAATGTTGTTTTTAACAAAGGTGCTTGAGGACAGGACCCTATGTTGAGCCCTATATAGTCCCTCCCCCTTTATTATGGGCAAAGTCAAAATAAATGGTCCAAATTTTATTTTTTTTACCAAATTTCAACATTGTTTTAGTGCATTTTCTTTTGTTGTATCTTGATACATATACATTTAAGTTAATAAATCCAAAAGGATATAAAAAAGTATGAAGAAATAAAAAAGTTCTGAAACTTAAATGACATAAACCAATAAAACAAATTTAAATCAAGTATACCTTTTTGGAATATTATTTCAGACAAACACTATCAAATATTTATATTTTTTTTCACCCCTATTGATTGCAGAGATCCAAACATTACTTTTGATACAAAGATTATTAATCTTCTCTTTGATTATCATTTTTTTTTTATGTTTTTGGCTATTTTTTGTATCAATTCATTTAAAGTTGATTGAAAAAGTTTTGATTAAAAAATAATTCATCAATTAGTTGATAAAAAAACTTCTCCATATTAAAATTAACCATTTTTCAAATTCACTGAGGAAAAAAACTTGATAGATAAATCTTTTAATAAAGAAGATATATCAAAAAGAAAATACATCCAATTTCCCCTGTTTTTGTTGCACTCCTGACATATTATAAACCAAACTAAAAATGCAGAAACTAGAACAAAATACTCATGATTTTTTAAAATTTGTAATCATTGCTGGTTTATAAAGACCTAAATCTGTCATTTAAATGTTATTTCTATTTTAACTTATGCATCTTATGCACTTCAGATCATATTTAAATTGATTTTTCTGACACATTATTATAAAAATGAGCCTTGGCTCACACCGAACAGCAATTAAGCTATAAAGCGCCCCAACAAATTACTAGTGAGTATTCTTGTCAGTTAAGACAGACATATAATTATATGTATATATATGTCTGCGGTATAGACATGGTTTATGAATGAATGATAAGTCTTACAAAGGTACAAGATATAAAGCACATTGAACATTGATTCTGCCGGTCTGTCTCCATTCAATAAAGGCAAGCCAAGTTTACGTTAGATTGATTCTGTAAAAATTTTTTAAACATCGTTGGTCAAATAGCTAAAGTATTTGTTGTGAGATGTAGAATATTTTAATAAGGACATTCCCGATTAGGTAAATGTAGATCGCTTTGGACGGACCAAATTATATTAATGTAACTGATAATTTTCTCTGCACATTTAAATATTCAAGGTTACCGATCATAATTCAAAATAGCACAGTTTTTGGTTTATACGCTCGTTTTCGTGGGCCATTTTTATTTATAAAATTATTTCATTGAAAGTTATTCAGAATTCCGATGTTACAACAAAATACTCACCCATCTATTTAAAAACTGAGCTAACGCAAAATATAAAAAATATATATAACGGCGATTCAGGTATTTTGCCACCATATTCCTCCCCAAATAATTATTTTTTTCTGTCTCAAACCCACATTTCTCAAAATAATTTGTGTTCTTAATTATTCGATCTCATTCCAATAAGACAAAGTTGACCTTAAATTTCTTGTCAACTTTTTAATTATCTTTCTTCAAATGGCTGAAGTATTTATAGGTTGTGAGATTTAAAATATTTTGATAAGGACATTAATTCCTGAATATATAAATAAAGATCGCTTTGGACGGACCAAATTATATAATTGCAATTGGTAATTATCTATTTCAAATATTCAAGGTTACTGATTCTAATTTGAAATAGTACAATTTTTAGTTCATACACTCGTGTTTAGAATGCCATTATTATTTATTCAATTA